GGGTTGAGGTCAGGACTCTGACTGGGCCACTCCAGAAGGCGTATTCTGTGCTGTTGCAGCCATTGTTTTGTTGAATTACTTGTATGCTTTGGGTCATTGTCCTGTTGCATCACCCATCCTCTGCGGAGCTACAGTTGGCGGACAGATGGTCGTACGTTTTCCTGCAAAATGTCTTGATAAACTCTGGAATTAATTTTTCCCATCAATGACAACAATCCGTCCAGGCCCTGAGGCAGCAAAGCAGCCCCAAACCATGATGCTCCCTCCGCCATGTTTTACAGTGGGGATGAGGTTTTGATGTTGGTGTGCTGTGCCTTTTTTTCTCCACACATAGTGTTGTGTGTTCTTCCCAAACAACTCAATCTTGGTTTGATCTGTCCACAGTATATTTTGCCAGTAGTGCTGTGGAACATCCAGGTGCTCTTTTGCAAACTTCAAACGTGCTGCAATATTCTTTTTGTACAGCAATGGCTTCCTCCGTGGTGTCCTCCCATGTACTCCATTCTTGTTTAATGTTTTCCTTATTGTAGATGTGTCAACAAAAATGTTAGCATGTGCCAGAGATTTCTGTAGGTCTTTAGCTGACACTCTGGGATTCTTCTTTACCTCATGCAGCATCCTGCGCTGTGCTCTTGCAGTCATTTTTACAGGACGACCGCGCCTAGGGAGAGTAGCAACAGTGCTAAACTTTCTCCATTTGTAGACAGTCTGTCTTACCGTGGACACATAAACATCAAGGCTTTTGGAGATACTTTTGTAACCCTTTCCAGCTTCATGCAAGTCAACAATTCTTGATCGTAGGTCTTCTGAGAGCTCTTTTCTGTGAGGCATGATTCACATCAGACAGTGCTTCTTGAAACCAGTAAACCCAAAACAGGTGTGTGTGTTTTTTAAGGGCAGGACAGCTGTCAGCAACATATCCAATATCATCACACTGATTGGAGTCAAAGTTGGCTCACTCCTGGCTCCAATTAGCTCTGGGAGAAGTCATTAAGCTAGGGCCTCACATACTTTTTCCTCCCTGCACTGTGAATGTTTACATGTTATGTGCAATTAAACCATGGCAACATCTAATGTTTGTGTAGTATTATGTTCAGCAGACTGTGTTCTTCTATTGTTGTGACTTAGATGACGTTCAGAGCACATTTTATGCCCAATTCATGCAAAACTCCACGTAATCCCAAGGGGTTTCACATACTTTTTCTTGCAACTGTATATATATGTGTGTGTGATTCGCGCTCCCATGGTTTTCACTCCTCTCCCAGATGGTGTCAGATTGTCCGTCAGTACACCAGTCATCACATTTAACCCCTTGATTGCCAGCAACACGCTCATACACAATAAATCTCAATGCTAGTATAGTGTCTGAACGGATCAATATCTTTGATCAGATCAGCACTATACCAGCATTCACATTAGTATAGAGTCCCCAAAAACACAGCATTAATGGGATCAGCCCCGACACCTGCCAGCACCTGCGTTTAGCCCCTACGTTTACCCCCCCCCCTTCTCCCCCAGGAAGTGCAGTGTCAGTAGGTCACTGTCACTTGATATATTACACACAAAACCGCAGTGTTCCCAGAATCACGCCTGATTTCTGTTAGCATTTGCCGGTAAATTTTGATGACTCTCATATGCAGCCTCTTAGATTGTAAGCTCCCAGGATCAGGCCCTCTTAACCCTCTTGTATTGAACTGTATTGTCTCCTGTTATATTGTAACGCTGAGCAAACTGTTGACGCTATATAAATCCTGTATAATAATAATAATAATACCAGCACTGCAGTATGACTTGATGACGTGGCGAGTCCCATAAGTGCAGTACAAGCTGGTGCGGTGGCAAGCACAATTATTGTCCCGCAGCCACAAAGAATTCCCACACAGGCCCGTAGAGCCCCTAATATCCTTCCAGATGTGCTTGCAAATCCCGACTGGCAGTCCACAAATTTTGCAACACTTGTACTTCCCCCGTTCACTGCCCAACCCGGAATTCAGGTGGAAATAGAAAATGTAACTACTCCCCTTGATTTTTGGAGCTGTTTTTCACTGAAACGTTGATTGTGGATCAAAGCAATTTATATGCACAACAATTTATCGCCGCCAACCCAAATTCAAACCTTGCCAGACCATTCGTATGGAAACCCATTACGGTTTCTGAATTTACTTTTTCTGGCGGCCTAACCCTCAACATGGGCATTACTAAAAGAAATGAATTGCGGTTGTATTGGTCCGCAGACCCGATTCATCATATGCTGTGTTCTCTGCTGCCATGGCCAGGCATAGATATGAGAGTATAATGTGTTTTATGCATTTCAACAACACACTCTGTCATCCTCGGGGTGACCCTGAATTTGACCGGCTCCACAAAATTCAGCCCCTCGCAAATCACCTTAATCAAAAATTTGCAGATGTCTATACTCCCCAGCAAAAAATCTGCATTGATGAGTCCCTGATTAATTTTTCTGGCCGCCTTGCATTCAAACAATTTCTCCCCTGCAAGCGTGCCAGATATGGGGTCAAGATGTAGAAGAACTGTGAGAGGGCAACAGGCTATACTTATAAGTTTCAGATTTACGAGGGAAAAGATAGTCACGTGGAGCCCCCCAGATGCCCAGACTACATTGGGAGCAGTGGCAAGATAGTTTGGGACTTGGTGTCATCCCTTTTCCATATGGGGTACCACTTATACGTGGACAATTTTTGTTCAAGCTATTTAGACATTTGTACAATCTTGGAACTGGCGCTTGTGGCAAAGTGTGACCTAATGTGTGTCCACCATTAGAAGTGGGTGGATGCAGGGCGGTATATTTTAATGGTGGGCACACACACACTTTTTCTGGCAGAGATTTCTTCTCATTTTTTCATTCAGTCCACAGGCTGCATAAAAAAAAAAAACAAACGAACGTAGCATATATACCCAAGGACCAGCAACCTACTGGTACATCACTGGACTTTGAGTGGTTATACCAGGATAATGCCTACAGCTGCAGGCATCATCCTGGTATTATTTTATTCAGCTGGCGATCAGCTTTCATGCAAAAGCAATCCTAGTGGCTAATTAGCTGCAGGATTGCTTTTACAAGCAGCGGGAGATGATGCCCCCCTCCCCCGCTTCCTTCCACGGCCTTCTCGGGCAGTCCCGAGCCATAGGGGGAACCTGAGAATGCAGCCGGTGTTTCTGCCAGCTGACCATAGAGCTGACTGGAGACCAGAATGGTCCCAATCATCTCTATAGCCTAAGAATTTGGAAGCTACGAGCATTTTATCACTTCAGTTTCGCAGGATATAACAGCACCATTTGTAAATTGGGAAAGCGTTTGATCACACCAATTTTGGTTTGATTAGATAATGTAAGGGCAGAGGAGAGATCTAGAGTCTGATAGACCCCAGATTTCTCAAAAAAGAATATATGACAATGCCGATTGAAGTTATAGGGAATATTTGCATTCCCTGTGATAGCATTAAAAGTGATAAAAAAAAAAAAAAAATTAAAAGGACAGTGTAAAAATAATTAAATAACAAAATAACTAAAAAAAAGTACCCTCGCCCCCGCGCATCATTGGATTTCAGGCTCCTGTATGTGGCTAGGCTCCCAAAAAGTCTCATACATGTGGTATCCCCATACTCGGTAGAAGTAGCAGAATGTATTTTGGGGTGTAATTGTACATATACCCATGGCTTGTGCGAGAAATAAATAATTTAAATGACAACTTTGTGCAAAAAAAAAAAAAAAAATGTTTTTGTCATTTTCCAGAAACTTGTGTTAAAAAAATAAATATTTCATGGACACCATGGGGTTTATTTACTAAAGCTGAAGAGTCCAAAATCAGACTCCCTTCTGCATAGAAACCAATCAGCTTCCAGGTTTCATTGCCAAAGCTTCATTGAACAAGCTGAGGTTAGAAGCTGATTGGTTTCTATGCAGAAGGGAGTCTGATTTTGGACTCTCCAGCTTTAGTAAATAAACCCCAATATGCCTTTCAGCAGATAGCTTAGGGTGTCTACTTTACAAAAAGGGGTCATTTGAGGGTGTTTGTACCTATCCTGGCATTTTAGCACCTCATGAAATGTGATGGGCAGTCAGAAGTAAATGCTGTGTAAATTCCATTATCTATACCATAGTTTGTAGACGCTATAATTTTCACACAAAGCAATAAATGTACACTTGCTGGGATTTTTTTAACCAAAAACATGTAGCAGAATACATTTTGGCCTAAATTTATGATGAAATTTTAGTTTTTTTGGATATTTTTTATGACCGAAATGAGAAAAGTTTTTAAAAAAAAAAAAAAAAGTTTTCTTCAAATACCACCAAAAGAAAGCTCTATTTGTGTGAAAAAAAAGGACATAAATTTCATTTATGTACCGTATTGCATGGCCGCGCAATTGTCCATTAAACTAGCGCAGCGCTGTATAGCAAAAAAATGGCGTAAATTGCAGTATCTATACCATAGTTTGTAGACGCTATAACTTTCACACAAAGCAATCAATATATACTTATTGGAATTTTGTTTACCAAAAACATGTAGCAGAATACATTTTGCCTAAATTTATAACCAACTTTGAGTTTACTATATATTTTTTATAGCTGAAAGTAAAAAATATTGTTTTTCTTCAAAATTTGTGTCTTTGTTTATAGCGTGAAAAATAAAAAGCGCACAGGTGATCAAATACCACTGAAAGAAAGCTCTATTTGTGTGAAAAAAAGGACTTAAATTTAGTTTGGGTGCAGCATTGCATGACCGCGCAATTATCAGTTGAATTAGTGCAGCGCCGAGTAGCAAAAAGAGGCCTGGTAAGGAAGGGGGGTAAATCCTCTGGATGGCAAGTGGTTGAATCAATACTTCTGATACTAGGGTGCTTTTGGCTCATAAGCAAGCTGTCACGTACCTGGTTGGGGAGCCTGATGTGGAGAGGAGGTGTGATCTTACTACTCCCACTCGGATCCCCTGATAGTGGGGACAGAGGGCGCCGAGCCAAGAGTGGCACGAGTGCCGGGTGGGTCTGGAGATGATGGTAGGCAGGTGAGGACCAAGAAGATCCGGATGCAGGCCAAGTACGGATGCAGGAACGTGGGTGCAGTAGCAGGCAGGTATGGCGGCAACCAGGATACAGACCAGGAGCGGACACAGGAACGTAGGTGCGGCAGCAGGCAGATATGGCGGCAACCAGGATACAGGCCAGGTGCAGACACAGGTATGTATGTGCAGCAGTGTCAGACAAGCTGGGTCAGGATCAATTGAGTGGATCAGGTACAAGGGAGCAGGCAAGCGGATAGTCAGGGATAAGCTGGGTCGGTGCAGGCGGAGTTCTTTCTTAGTCAGGGTCAGATCAGATATAGGCAACAGAATTAGGTTATGAAGTGCAGGACGTTATAGACCAGAAGGCATAGGCTAAACTGTGCTGGTGGTTTAAATAGCCCGCCTTGCGTTGACATGTACGTAGTACGCATGCGCGCACACGCACACACTCCCGCACATGCGCACTCGCACAGGTCCCTCCAAGTATGTAGATCTGAGCCTCCTCTCCTCCTCCATTCCTCCTCCATAAAGCTCTCAGGTTTCAGGAGAGGTGGGAGGGCTCCAGAAGCTCTGAACTTCAAAGCCTTCCTAGCCTGCGCTGAGGTGAACTCATGCCTCACTCACAGGCTGACTCATCCCAGGGTGCTACTCAGCTTCTAACCAAAAAAACTATCTGACTAACCTGGAGTGCGCTATATCCACCCTCCCCCCCCCCCCCCCCCCCCACTACAAAAACAGCCATGCCCTCACTGGCAGGGCATCCCATACAGAAAAAGGTAGGGGAAAGGGGAACAAACTTGGAGGGGGGATATACACAAATAAATGATGCAACAGAAAAACAAAGTATATGCACTTTACATATTTACATTTGGCAATATGAATTTATGTACAAAAAAACACCAACACATGGAAAAATATGAACATAAATACAATTAAAGAACTATGGAACACCTCCCCCTCAAAAGAAACCCTCAACAGCAACAAAAGTACAGACTCTTGTTCTCCAGCAGGGAAGACAGTCGTCTTGAGGTACCTGCAGAACAGAAAAGAAAGGAACTGATGGACAGCACGGACAGCACAAATAGCTAACTAACTGTAACATTTAACTTCAAGGCACTTTAGCAATGTCCATTTTATTTTTTAAAAAATCCTTTATTAAAAGAACTTAAGGAGGAACTCCCCCTGTTGAAGTAGTGAGGTTAGGCAGTCTCCCTGCAGTTTCCCCAGACCAGCATCTCTGAGAAATAGAAAAGAACTGGAGTCCAGCCTAGTCTGCAAAGTAAAAATGAGTGTCAAGAGCCTGCTGGGCTGGAATTCTGTGTCAGCCATTTTCAGCCATATTTCAAGGGGCTAGGCAGTCTTACCATGGTGCCATCAGGCATTCATGGAATAACTACGGTTAGGCTGGCCGGCCTTGACGACCACCACCAGGTCCTTCTAAATGGCCCAGCCCCTGCTCCACTCCTACTTGATGTCTTGAAAGCAAGTCCAAGCCTCATTCACATGAGGCCATCTCAATGGCCTGGGGACATGCATGTAGTCCAAGACCAGGTCATCCTCCCACTGTGATCTGGACTCCTCGATGATGTCCATAATATTTTGTGGGACACAGGGATAGTCCAGTTCCCACTCCACAGCCACTCTCTTCTGCAAAATTATCTGAAACCGGAAGAATCAGGGAAGCAGCTCCCCATCTCCCAATCCCAGCTGTACACAAGAGTGTGGGGACCAAAGGATCCATCTTTTTAAAGACTTGTTGTTGGCCCTGGTTCTAGGCTAAGGTGAGGAAAGTTTTGACTGGGCCTAAGTAGGTATCCTGATGGGCTCTGTCCTGTGGGAATGTCCAGCCGGGTCTGGTGTGTGGGAACTTTCTGATTGTCACGGCAGTGAATCTCTGTCTTCTGTAGTGTCCCCCCCAGGCCCATTCTTCCTTAGTGTCTTCTCGGGACTAGTCTTCCTCAGCTAGCAATCTGGGTGACTCCCAATCTAACCCCCCACCACTGAGACTCCGCTGTCTCACCTAAGGACTGGTCATCCTCGCAGCCAGGCTCTTGTGGGCACCGGCCCTCCAGCAGTATCTACAGCTGGATGGTAGGTGACGGCAGGCAGCCATCCTCCACTGCAATGATCTGCCGATGGGGCAGGGAAATCACAGTTCCGAGATTCAACCCTGTTCTGTACTCCAAACTCTGCACACTTTCTGGCTCTCCAAATCTCTGGCTTCTCCGTACACAGGCCCATCTGCAGGTCTATCTGCGAGGCACTAGGTCACTGGGCATCAACTTGTTAAGCAGCCCTCCATAGTGCCCGCACTTGATCCATGCTCCTACCAGGGGGGTTTGCATTCAGGGCAAATTAGACATAGTCTCTCCATCCCCTCGATCGACGCGAGGGAAAAACCTCTGTGATGCTCTAGGCCAGGGGTGTCAAACTGGCGGCCCTCTAGCTGTTGCCAAACTACAAGTCCCATGAGGCATTGCAAGGCTGATAGATACAAGCATGAATCCCAAAGGCAGAGGCATGATGGGACTTGTAGTTTTCCAACAGCTGGAGGGTCGCCAGTTTGACGTCCTTGCTCTAGGTGATCCCCCTGTGTCCACCGGAATCTCCAGCCACCAAAACTTCAGCATAACTTAGAAAAAACCCTCCATCTTGCTCCTCTCTCTCTCAGCACACTGGGAGTACTGGGTGGGCTTAAGGGTGTGGCCACGCCCCTCTCTCATTTTAGTGCCAGTGTTATGCAGGATTCCCCCCCCCCCTTGCACTTGTGTTAACCCCTGCTTCTCCAAAGCAGGAGCATGCTGACTGGTTTGCAGACCACTGAATCCGGGCAGTAACACAAAAACAATTCACTGACAGCAGAAGAACATTTGGCCCCAACAACTGTTGGGTGATTGGGTGTTGGTAGTTGTAGTAGCAATGGTTGCTACGAACAACAGCAAGGAACAGGATATACTCCCCGCTGCAAACTATAAAGCATATTAACACAGAGTCACTCTTTCCAGGCATTGCAGGGCAACTGAGCATTTGTAATCCACAATTGGGTGAACCGCTCCAGTTGCTTAGGCCAATGGCACACAGGGACACATGGAAGACACTGACTTTTGCAGGCTTTAAGAGTAGTAGAACATAAGCCTCAGCTGCTGGTGGTTGACAGAGTATTTGTAATCCACATAGGTATCATAGCTTGCCATGGTTGCTACGGTGAAGGTGAACAAAGTAGTGACATAAACTTCACAGTTGTAAGCAGGCACATAACAAACAGAGTCTTTTGTAGTAGCCATCTGTAGAGCAGTAAAAAGACTTTCACAAACTGATAAGCCATTCCGGTTGCTTTGGGCAAGGGCAAGCAAAATAACAGCCGATATTTCAATGGCACCAGCAGATGAATCATGAACATAGTCTCTCATACCAGCCACCTGTAGAGCAGCAGGAAGACCTTTTGGATGGCCCCTGCATGGTTGCTGCTGGTTAAAGCATTAGCAATGGTACTTGAATCACAGCAACAGTCACAATTCCTGCAATACAGCGCAACTCCACCTTTCCGCTTGACTCCATGACACTTTACACTGCAGACAGCAATTTCCTGGCTCGTTGGTTGCCAGTTGCTAGGGGCATTGGCTGTGCAGATTGCAATAGGGATATCCCACATGTAGCACTATCCCCTTAGGAGTTACTGAGTTTTTGGTCCCCCTAAAGCTCTGAACAGCCAGGCAACATGCATTTTCTTCTACTCTTTGCACACGGGGAGTCAGTAAACAGTCCTTGAGCTTGGCTTTGTGTTTTTATTAAGGGGTCTAAAACTTGGATAGGGTTGAGGGGTATATGGGATGTCCAAGGAAACTGCAACAGAGCAGACGGGGAGCCCATAGAGGACCTGGCTCATCCTGCCATTGTAAGGGGTAAAGATGAGTCAGATACGGCTTTGTTTTCATCTCTGCTCCATCTCCCACACGTGACCCCTGGATACAGCCTCATAGGGGCCACACCAGGCCCACAGGTGTGCCATCTGCCACAACAAAGGTGATTTAACACCTGAAGGGCCAGCCTCTTGTCTCTCCCCTCCCCCTAGAGAGCATGCTTCCCGCTCTTACCTCCCGGTTGGATGGCCTCAGCCACCCCAGGTTTTCTGGTTAACATGGCAGGTGAGGAGGGAGAGGCCAGAGTGGAGCTGGGACTGAACTCAAGATTTGGGATGTTGATCCCCCCCATCTCCACTACCTCTGCTCCCCAGCTTCTGCATTCAGAGTGGTAGCACCCCATATCCCGGAGCTTCATCTCTCTCCTGGCACCACACGGGCGGCCCCGCTTCCTCCTCCACTCCCAGGCAAGCAACCAAGGGAGTCAGTATAGGAGATGACCGCAGGCCCTGCCCACTGCACTGTGATCCCACCCCTCTCATGCACTCAGGAATCCTCCGCCAGGCCTTGTACCAGGCACAGCTGGCCTGAGGGAAATGAGAGCAAGGCTGAGCTGGCCCAAGCTGTGAAGAGAGTACGGAGAGTGGCAGCAAGTTCAGGGAGAGCAGAGACTCATATCCAGGTGACCAACAGATCAATAGGGCAGTGAATGGGCTGACAAAAGCCCAGATGCCAGGATGCATTTTCTAGTCGCCATGGGGACCTGGCACCTGGGATTTGTAGAGCCCTGCTTTAAGATAAACATTCCAGTATTAACTCAATTGTGTGTTCATTGAACATACATTCTTCCCCCTTAAAGCAGTAGTAAACTGCTGCTTTTCATTAAAAAAAAATCCCCTGCAAGGCAATGGCACAATGGCAATACTAGCACATTATGAAATACTTACCATAGAAAGAAGCCCTCCAGCAGTGCGCTGTCAGCGTTGACAGGGCTTCCATCTTCCCCCGGTATTCTTTCCGGGTTGTCAAGCCACGATTACATCACTGCTGTGTGAGTGCACGGGAGTCACGGTTCATGGCACACCGCTCTGAAGGGACCACACGGGTATACTGTCCGCTCAGAGCGCATGTGCTGGTGACGTCACCGTCTGCATCCAGTGTGAATATCTCCCAAACAATGCAAGTTTAGGAGGTACACACTGTACACGGTACACAAATCCTATCAAAGGGCTAACGGTCAGGACAGACAATCACTGATCCATAAGAAGAAAAAGATTAGGTCCGATACCCAAAATGTCAGGCTAATTGCAAGATACTCGATACAGCACAGAGAGGTTTGTTAAATATTGAATAAATATTGGTACCTATTAATGATAGATAATACAGTATCCAAATATGTGAAGAATTATCCAGAAATAACTTATAGGAGTCTTCATCTCTTAAAGATCAATTGGTTCAGAGCCATTATTCAAACAAACCTAGGATTAGATCTG